TATATATATATATATATATATATATATATATATATATATATATATATATATATATAAGTTTATATATAAAGCCTAAATCTGGATGATTTAAATTGATATTAAGCGTTTTATATATATATATATATATATATATTGCTCCATACATAGGCATATATAGATAAATTTTTGATAATTGGTATATTTTATAAGAGAATTTGTTTACATTCCTATGAAGATGATCAGGTCCAATTTAATTGATACTTTTTACAATATTTCCAAATTTTATAACATTTTTATAACATCAATTGTTGTCTCGTACATGCCTTGATTTGAGATGAAATGCACATTTTTATACTGGTTATACATTGTCTACATATACATGATTAATATACTAATGCTCACTACACGGAGAGAGAGACAGAACGCCTATGATTTTTATAAAAAGATTTATAGAAAATATACTATTGACACTCGTCGTGATAACAAATTAACAAATATAATTCTAGTAATAATACTTCGTACATGCGACAATGCTGGCTTAATAGAAAATCCTTTTAATATTAAAAATCTTCAACTATAAATTAGTTTGTTGCGATTACCAAAACGATGAGCATTGTATTGATACGTGTTAGCTCATATTTTACTTGCAATTATTTTATTGGATACATTTTCAATGTATTGTTGCGACGAATGTATCATATATGTATTTTCTATTAAGCTGCTGTAAGTGGAAGGATACACACATGTAACAGTATATATTTAGACCATATACTTGAAATTTTACTGTAATATAGACTGTGAAAATGCGTAGTAACTATGTGATAATACGTTTTGGACAGTTTAACGATGATTTTTATATTTCCCAATTCCCAAAATGATTTTTTGATACGTCCAATTTAATCTAATATGTTTCAACTCGTAAGAAGGTTGTATAAAAAGCATTTAAACCAAATGTTGCCGAAAATGGCATCATATATTTTTTATTCGCTCCTACATTCGTAAACTGAAAAGAGAAGAATGTGGATATTTATTTATTCTTTCTCATGCAATAAGTGAAGTAACGAGAGTGTAGTAGAATGAGAGAACAGTGGATTGTACATGTTTGTATATACATAGTTAAAATGATTAATTTCGAATATTTTCATGATTCTGAGGATTATCACGATTTCTATGTATGTATGTATATATATATATATATATATATATATATATATATATATATATATATATATATATAT